TATATATATATATATATATATACTTGCTGTTAAAAAAAATATTAACATTGTGATATAGAACCAAAATAATTAGTGATGGTACGTAAACTTCTTTCTACACGTAATGTTTGAACTCGTTCAAAATTTAATGAAGAATATTTAGTTCGATCAGTAATACTTGATTTATTAAATTGTGTATGAGGAAGAGATAAGTGTATACTTATCCACCCTATATTCCTACCTATAGTTCTCGCTTTAAATTTTTTTAAAAATTTACCTTTTTTAAAATTTACTTAAAATTTATGTAATTTTTACTATATGTTAAATTTATATCAAATAAAACTTAATTAATGTAATTTGTAACTTTTACTCTATGTTGAAATTTTTGTTTTTTTTATTTATATTTTTTTGAAAAGAATATTTAATAAATTTTTAAGCATGTACAGAGCAGGTATTGGTATACCCTATATCCAATCGGAATAAGGATAAGACACAAATTACATATTCGTTGAGTATAGAAATGATAATGGGTATAGGGATGGGATATTGAAACTCGTACCCATCTCACTCCATTAATTAGCATCTCTTAAAATAATTTAGGTTTTATTAAATAAAAGCACATGACTAAATTTATTTAAGGTTTGGTTTGACCAATTTAACAAAAAAAAATATATATATTTACTTAAGGTTTAGTATGATGATGAGGATCGAACATACATCCTCTCCCTTCTAAGTATCTCAATCTCACCCCCTAACCACTAGACTAATCCAAACTTATAAAAGAGTTTGTTAAGCACGATAAAGTAACTTTAATAAAAATTAATTAATATAGATATTAAATTATTAACAATATAATTAAATAAATAAATTTGTAATAAAAATCAAATTATTAATATTATCAAACAAATGATGAAAGCACAGGGGAAAATCACTAGAAAATTTTAAAATAGAAAATAAAGTAATTTATTCTTTTTATAATAGTATTTTTTTACTTATTAAACATTATATGTAACTAATATTGGTAATAATATAAATATAAGAATTAGGGGTGATAACGGGGACAAGATGGGTATGAATTTCTCTATCCTCGCATCCGCCTTTGTTTTTGTATCCTATACTTATCATTGTCCTTATATTTAGCAGGTATGAAATTTATATCTCCATCTCTATGCCCATCAAGATCGAGTAAACCTATACCCATCTTGTATTCGTCCAAAAATTAATTAAATATTATTTTTTATTAAAAAATAATAAGAACTTCAACATAAAATAAAAATTACAAAATTACATTAATTATACTTTATTTGACATAAATTAAAAATAAAGTAAGAAATACATAAATCTTAAATTCTAAAAAATATTAAGAATCTAAATATTTAAAGAAGGTACAAGTACATGTATGGGTACGTGTACGTGTACAAATCAATATCTATACATCTATCTCCATACTCAATTTAATAAATTGGATATTATCTGTTTCCTTATCTAATCAAATCGAATATTTCTTGTCAAAGTTGAAATAGATTCAAACTTTATTCACATATACAAGTTTACTTGTCATCCCTAATAAGAGTATAAAGACTAATTCACATACATACACATGTGATAAACCTCAAATTTTGTTTAAAGAATGTGTTGAATTGTAATTTTAAAAGAATATTTTTTATGAAAAAAGGTTGATCTCGTAGATTTTAAAAGATTTTATAAAAAAAAATTTAAGATTTTTATTTTAATAAACTCTTATATTAATCAAGACTTTTATAAATTGTTTTTTGTGATGTTAAAGAATATAAATATTAAAATGAAATATTAAAATAGTCATATTTCAGATAAAGTTCTTTCAATTTATTAAAGTAATTTAATATAATAAAAAAAATATTTTTAGATTTTATTTTTCACGTGAACAAAGGGACAAATTTACACTACAATGGACTCACAAAATTTATTATCATGCACCCATTACTTATCTCTTGTCTCTACGAAAGTATAAGAAATACTTTGTCATATAAATTTTACAAAGATCAAATAATTTGAAACTTCTTTTGAAATAAATACACATATATATGTCACACATATTCAACAATGTGTACTGCAACCATTATTCGTCTCAATAACCAAAATTTCTGAATAACCAATAATAATTCATCGAGGTACCAATACTATGGAAGGAAAAAAAAAGTGAAAAGTAACATAACCTCCATTTTTATTCCATATTATAAACTAAAACAATGATCTCTTCAGTTATCAACCCATCATAATCCAAACAAGTGGACCTACTTCCACTACACCTAACTGTTGGTGTGCTTCTGCAATAAAAACCGAAAACAAGAGAAAAAACATAGTCTACTCAACTCTTCTCTGCATTACATGCTGCCACGTGGAACCCGAAGATGCAAAGCCATTTAGGAAAAACGAAGATCCAATCCCCCATCATCCTTGGGATGAATGATACACCACTGTGTTCTTTATAGAGGCAACAGCATCGGTGATAATTTTGTATATGGCTTTAATTGATTGAGAAGAGATAAATGGCCTAGTTGAGGCACCGTCAACTATGTGGAATGCAACAGTTAGAAAACTTGCTGTGGCTCCATCTTCTTTTCCTGGCAAGGGCCCAGGAAGTATACTAAAGCCTGATGGTAGGATAATAACTTTGTCAGGGTCTGATCCTTTTGAAAGAGATGAGAGAGTTCCTTCGTCTAGTGGAGCATATATCACGTAGGAACCTGTTGAGTCTGTGTAACTCTCTTGCAGATAAAATATCTCAAGCTTGCCCTGTGAGGTCTGAGAATATGCCAAATAAAGGCTAGTTTAGGTTTTCAGGAAATTGAAATGAATGGGGGAAAGGATAATAAAAGATATGCTTAATTCTACTTTTTTTCAGTTTTTTTAATATTTTTTTTTATAAATGTTGTTAGTTAATTTTTAAAATTGTATATTTTATTATCTAACTTTTAAAATTTTATATAATTTTTTATTTAGTTAGTTGACATTATTACTATCTATATAAAATATTGACTGTTAATATGACTTATTAATTTAACGTGTCAAATTATGTTACATTATCATGTGTATATCATGTTAATAATCATGTTAACAGTGAATTAATGAAATGGTCAAATATACAATTTTTTAAAAATAAAGTGACAAAATGTGGACTTTCTTGTTTTGAGATATTAAATGCTTGCACTAACATTGTGACAAATCGTGATTTAAATACAAATTTGAATAATGTAAAATTTGGATAATAAAATATAAAAGATGAATTGGAAAAGAAATACAATTAAGCTTAAAAGAAATATGCTTACAGTTGCTCGCATCAGGGAAACACGATTCCCTAGATTTTCACCTTTAATCATGGACGCAAATTCTCGAATAGTAAGTCTATGTGAAAGCACATCCCACTGTAATTAATTATTCAACAAGAGTATAAAAGTAAAATTCTTTAGTGATTAACAAAATCGATAAATATTTAATAGTAATAATATCATTAATAAAAAATTAATAAAATAAAAAGCTTATCAAGCATACCTTGGTTCTGGAATCCTCGTGACGAAGGAAGTCGAACAATTGATTTGGAGAGACATCCAACCAAAGAGAAGTAGTGAAAACGACAGTTGTAGCATGAAGATTCATAGTAAGTTCTTTATTATTCTTCATCATGACTCTCACATCTGTGCAACCAGTGTAACCATCTATTTTCATCCATGGATTGCTTACTGTATTACTCACATTTGCACAAAACATTTTCATCATTCTATCCGCCAGTTTCATCAAACTTGCTCTCCCACTTTCGGCTATACAAAAAGCAACACCAAAATTTAATTGAAGTTGTTAAACTTGCATGCAATATCTATATATCTATTATAAAAGAGAATATATTTTAGTAATCATCTATTTTCATTTTTTAAGTAGATTTTTATATTTTTTAGAACGTAAAATGAAAAAATCTTTTTATATTCTTCCTGAATAACTATTTGTAATTTTTAATATTTATCTGTATGTAATTATTAGAGGCATGAAGTACCCCAATCCCTCTAATATTAATTAAAGGCTTAAATCTAGTTTTGGTTCATATAATTTCACAAATCAACAATTTTAATTTCTTAAAATATTTTATTATAAATTTGATCTTTGTAGTTTTTAAAATTAAATAATGTTAGTTCATTCATTATCATGCCTTTCCAAATTATATAGAAAATGAGGATTTATATGTGAATGATATAGTCACATAAAAAGTAATAATATTAAAAAAAATTAAAAATAACATATGTAATAAAAAATAATGTTCTTTATATGAAAGTTAAGATGATTAAATAATTATCAAGTAATTTTATTCATGAACATGCAATATTTTTTGTTTAATTTTAAATGAAATGTTAATAAGTGGATCAACATTGTTTAATTTTAAAAATCAAAGAAACTAACAATGCGTTTGAATAATTCCAATGCACGCAAATGGAGAAACATATTTCTGGATGAATTGAAATTAACAGACATTCGTCCAACGCAAACTTAAAACAATTATGTACTAAATTTGCAATAAAAATTCTTTAAAAATCAAAATTCCATATTCATAAAACTTTAGAGATTAAAAGTGAATTTAAATGTGTGGAAGTCCTGTATCTTCCATTGATAAAATTATATAAATCTTAATTAAAATAGAAGATATTAAAACATACAATAAGCTTATATATTGATTGAGTATGAGTAGCTAGTAATTGTACTTGTAATAGAAATAAATTGCACATAAAAAACTAATAAGAACATAAGTTAAATGAAAGAGAAGTATCTTAAAAGTTTAAAGAAGAGAGAACATCAGATAGGTTACCCCCTTTATCTGACTCAAATATGGATGGTTTTAGGGTTTGTGACCATTCACTGTATCGAACTAAGGAATTAAGCCATCGAGTTGCACCAAAAGCTTGAATAGAAGGGAATCGCAGCTGGAACTCGTCTAGTTCAACATGCTCTACCCATACAACCTAAAAGATGTAAATCAAACAAATTAGAACAACACATGACATACCAAAAATCAACTAAATCAAGAACTAGAGTTAACTTTATGATGCAATATCAATTAAATATTATAAGAAAGCAACCTCAGAATATCCGTTAGAGATTTCGGTAATTAAACAACCCGATGGTCTTTTCAGAATATTACTCGTTGAAGAAGGAATAAACTTCTCCAATGATACATCAACCACACCCCATGTGTTATGAGACAACTGCTTGCTGTACCTTCCGAAGTAACACTCCCTAGTATGTACAAAAGTAGTAGGCAAATGGAGTTCTGCATTCATCTGTGTAAAGGAATGAATATATAATGAAATTAGAACTATATATATATATATATAGATTAATTTAAAATTCTAATGAGAAGCTATATTTATCAATTTTATGATTTTGCAAACTTGATTAGACATTGACTGAAAGTATGATAAACTGTTTTTCTGTATGAAAACTGATACAAAACATATATTACATGACGCTAATGAATGTTTTAATGTTAAAATGTTATGACTTTATTATGTTTAAATTTTGTGTATACATTTTCTTTACAAGTACCAAGAAAAAAACATTCTCTTTTTTATTTTATTTTAAATAAATTAAAATAAATCATGTAGTGAGTAATTACTTATAACAGTTTGAGACAAAAAAATATGGCTTAAATTTGAGTAAATAAAAGAGAGTAAAATAGTATATATAAAAATGGAGACCAAAACAATTATTGAAAAAATATTTTTTTTATATAATAGTAAGAAAATGACTAAATTATACTTTTGGTCTCTATATTTTTATCGATTCATAATTTTGGTCTATTTATTTTAAAATAAAATTTTTTCATTTCTCTAATTTTAAAAATAAAATTTTAGTTCTCTCGTTATATTGACAGTTAATTAAGATGGTATTACTTTTATTATATGTCATATATTGAATAATTTGTATCTTATTAAAATTTATAAATATTTATAGTATATTTTTTATCCATAAAAAATAAAGAAAGTCTACAACACCCACACATATGCACACAATCATATTCACAAAATAAAATACAATGACATTAATATATTATTCAAATGGTTTAGATAGGAGAAATATAATAAAAAAAACATATACGTTGAATATAAATTTATAGAAAAAATTGTTAAATTAGACATTTTCAACGTCATTCATATCTTCGGGGACTACTATGATACATAGTTAATTTCAACTAATGTCGTAATTTTTACAAATTCTTGTAGATTCTGAAAATGAATTATCCAAATACATAATTAATCACTTTAACTATGTCACAGAAAATTAATCAAGATTTATGAATATGACAACAATTTATAAGAAAACATGCACAAAACAGGTATTTACAAGAATGGATGACATTATGGACTCACCACATGCAATTTGTCATTATAGCTTCCTTCCCCTCCTAGCAAAGTACCTACATTTGTTGCTTTTGAGACAATATTGTAAAATGCACTCGACCATTGGTTCTAGTTAATAAAAAGAATACAGTAAGTAAGAGAGATAAAGAAATCATTAAAATTCACAAAGCAGATTGCAGATGCAATGGCAGGTTTTGTGACTTTGTATTAATTTGTCATCATTTCTCCATTGTGACAAGTGACAACAATTCAAAACCATGAAAATGATGAAATAAAAAACAACATACCACATCCATAAGTAATTCTACAATGCTGATTGGACTCATTTTAATATGTGCCACATCTCTTGAGGCTTCGGTTAGAACTCTTCTCGGATTCGTCTTTGATGTTGAATGCTCAGTTTGACACGTGTCAAAGTTAGGTAAATTTTGACCCTCTCCAACCTCCATCAACTTAACAATCTCCCTTAGGGTTTCATCAACCTGACCAAATTGCCTCAAATATTCAATATAATTCAAAGTCTCATAACTATCATTTGTCTTGAGTTGCCACAATGGATTTCCTGCAATGCCTATCTTTGACAACTCATCCATTGCTGAGCATGAATACTCTATGATTTTACTCTTAGTTGGCTCAGCATATATTGATAATCCAAAGAGAAGGTCACAATTACTCATAATCACGTCTGTGGAACTAGAATCAGATAAAGTAACATTTGCAGAATGTTCAGAAGATAATACTGATGAACAACTGCCATTATAGTTTTGAGACGTATCATTCTGAGAATAGTAAATAAAAAAAAACAAAAAAAATAATGCATTAGCATAGCGAATAAAACAATTTACAAAATGAACACAATTTATGAAAATCTATAGCCGTGAAACTTGATCAGAAATCAATCTGATCAAATAGCTGCCAATTCCATACTAACATCCTTAATTAAGATAAAATGAAAAAAAGAAAATAAACCATTATTATTTTGGCCACCAGTTTGACAATAATTCTACAATGACGAAGTGTTCAATTGTTGTGTGATAACAGATTAAAGAATATATGGAGGCTTAACAATCATCAGAGATAAAGAGATTAGTTAAATTCAAACCATTGTTTCTCCTACAACAACTAAATCACTTGATTTTAGGAATTTCTTAACAATAATATTGGCTGAGTTGTTGGTATAAGCCAATTGAAGCATTTATATGAATTTCAAAATTCAATTTACCTTATAAATCACGTCGAAGATATCTACTCCCATCTGTCTATTGCACATTCCTTCATCATCCATAGCCGTAACCTAAAATTTCTGCAAGTTTTTAAAATCAATTATAGCAGTAACAAATTCACTAAAAAGAGAAGAAAAATATGAAACGATCTATTAATTAAAACCAAAGAAAGGGATTATAGTGTTATATCTTTCATCCTAAAATTCTACTTGCGAAAAATCATAATAGAATTGCATTCTTATAATTTGAATTGAAATGACAAGAAAAAAACGGGTGCAAGTGTGCAATTATGTGAAAAATATGATATTGACAGCATCATTCACTGCGGGTGCAAGTGAAAACTTGTGATTTTTTTCTGTTGTACTCTACCATGGGATTCGTCATGTGTAACAGATACACAATTCACAAGTATTTTTGCAAAATTAAAATTTATAATAAATAAATATTTTAAATAAATAATATATAAATTATATTATAAATAAATATGTTATATCTATAAATTAGAATAATTATATTAAAAGAAATAAGAGATTAAGAAAATCAATAAAAATACTCCAAACTAAAAAATCTTATATAATTAAATACAATTATTCTCTTATATAATAACGTTATTGTATTTAATTTAATTATTATATTCTCTCTCAAAAAATTAATTTTATATCTAAATTATTTAGAAAATTAAGAGTATTTATTTGATTAACATAATTGCATTCAATTTGAAGCAGATTTTTCTCCTAGAATCGAGATTCAAAATTGTTGAAGCTTTTTATTATTTGTATTTAAATTTTTATATAAATTTTAATTTGTAATATAATAAATTATATTCTTTATTTATAATCAATTTAATTTTAATGTTTATTCTGACATAATATTATTTTTGTTCCAATTATTTCATTACTAATATTTTAAAATATGTGTATTAAATTGAGATTTCAGAAGACTATTTTAGTATGTAAAAAATTTATAAATTTTAAAATAGTTTGTAGTGATTGTAATGACTTTTAAGATATTTTTTTTAAGAATTTTATAATCAAGATTTTTGTAATTTAAATTTTAATAGATTAATATCATAAAAATTTATAAGACTTAAAAGGATTTTATATATATATAATTAATAAAAAAAATATAAATGATAAGATTT